CCCTAAAACCCCAAGCCCCTTAACCCTAGGAGACATGCCCGCGGCCTTTCTCCAGCCTGTGCAGATGAACGGACTGGGTCAGATAGAGACCGTAGATGTACCTGGATGGCATTTGAGCTATAGTCTAAACTCCTAGTATCCCCCTTAATATCCCCTATAGTAGTCCCCTATATAATCCCCTATATAACCACCTTTAAGGAGTTTAGACTATGGCTCATTTGGGACAGCCACGAACTTTGTATGGACTCTGGTAATGGTTTCAAGATGAATGGTGATTGCTCAGGTTGTTGTAGATGGATTTCCTGCTCAGACCCCTGAGGGGCAATGCGCGTGAATGAGTCCAAGTTCAGCCAGGTTTACTTGAGCTGGGGCTCTCCTAGCTACTGTGGAAGATGCTCCTAGAACTATTGTCATGAATAGCTGGATGTCCGTAAGGTGAAGATGCAACTGTTCTAAGAATGCCACACCCAAAATCTAAATTCAAAGGTAGTTTGCGCAGCACCTTGCAGCCTGTAACGCCTGAAGATGATTTGGGAATCACCCTGAACGATCCCTAGACGTCTCGCGAACATCACTGAGCATATATCTTCATGAGCAAAACCTTTAACAATGGTGGCAAGAAACGAGAAATCTACGTTTCGCAGCCCTAACGGTCCAGGGACACAAGTAGTTCAAGAGGCTCAACAAGTGGGATGAAGGCAGGTGGGGTAAAGGATCCCTAGTATCTACTCCATTATGTGGGGCTTATTTTCCTAAACCCCACCCGCTTTACCACACTTTTTGAACCCTGAGAGTAATGGGGGTCTAGGGCGTAAGTACTATGACATGAAGGGGTTCGGGGGACCTAAGCGCCGAATTTCGAGGTCTTGGACATTTTTGGGCAAGAAAGCACAACTACACCCAATTATTTGAACCGCAACTGTGCGAGCCCAAGTACACCAGGAGGAAGACAAACATCACAGACCTCGGCTTGTTGAACGTGTGCGGCTATGCACTGTCTGTGAAGATCCCTAAATCAACACCCCAACCCTAAACCCTGAAACCTAAACCCTAAAGGGGGAATAGGGTCCGCAAGGTTTGCAGGTTTGGGTTTAAAAGGGTTTGCATCGTTTAGGGTGTTAGGGGTATATAGCGGAATGGACGGGAACATGTTTTCTACAGTACCATATCACTTAAAACCCTAGACCCTAAACCAGTTAGGCCATCTAGAGCCGGTTGTGTATTAGGTTTCCACAGGCTGCATATATGAGCTATAGTCTCAACTCCTAGTATCCCCCTTAATAGCCCCTAGTATAAGGTTAAGGGTTTAGGGTTTATGGTCTCAACTCCTGGTATTCCCCGTAACAACACCTATGGTAGTCCCCTATATCATCCCCTTTCTCACCCCCTTTCGAGGAGTTTAGACTACAATACATATGCGGTGGTGTGAGGCATAGAGGGATAGTAGAGGAGCGTGCAAACCTCAAAAGGTGCATGAGTGGCTGCATTTGGTTTTCCCTAAGTAGCCGGGCCCGAATATAGACCCCAACATACTCCAGTTCTTGTTATAGGAATCCCCCAAAGACGTACCCGTAATTTTGGGACCCCCCCCCATTATTTCCTTTCTGGTAGCATTTGTGAGAGGGAGGGCGTATAGGGCTTTCATTCTTGTGGTTAGGTAGCTCCGGCTTAGCCGTTGGTCGCCTTCATGATTGCAAGCAAATGCAACTTCTATGAATCACAGCACTGAAGCTGATGATTGGGTGTAAGTCCTTCATGAGTCTCTCATAAGCCTCTCCCTTGCGACCATGCATCATAGTCAAACACAAATTTGTCTTTCAAGTTTATAGTGCGGCCTTTGATGGCCAGTAGTGGATGGCGGAAGTACTAGTTCAAGCAACCCCTCGCACGGCTCCAAGAACCCTACACCAAATACTAAACCCCTTCGACTGCTTCATGAACTTACGGTTCATAGCCTAGGGGCCTATATGGCAGGGTATAGAACAATTGACCAGAAGGTAGACCCCCAATATAATTGTCCTTCTTACAGTGGCTACCCAAAGGAGGCCCTAAATTTTGGAAGCCTGCACATACTATAGGCACGTAAGGACACCTGGGTCATGGACCCAAAGTATGGGCCCTAAACCCTAAACCCTAAATCCTACCTGACCTCAGAATCAAGGCGAGTCTCCAAATGAAGGATTTCGCGGAGTATAGCATGCAGGCCACCAGCCGCCTGGATGCTCTGCAGGAGGTAGGGTTTCGGGTTTAGGGTTCAGGGTTTAGGGTTTAGGGGCTCAATCTTGGGGGGGTTCAGGTTTTTCAGGCTCAGGTTCAGCCTGTTTTGGGGATTTAGATTTAGGACATCCAAGCTTTAGGTTGAGGATTGACGTTTACGGTGGCTCTTGATACCCTGAATCTGAATATTTCTCAACATGGCGTGGCCTGAGGTCGTCAAAGAAGCGCGTGAGGCGAAGCACGCGAATGATGCGCATGAAGCGAAGCCTTTGGGTTGAGGGTTTAGGGTTTACAGATTGGGTTTGTGATTTACGGCTTACGGTAGGGTTTAATCTCAAGAGAACTGATCACGGGCAAATATTGGGAATTGTTCAGGCGTCAACATTCGGCTCAGGACCTAGGAATTGGGATTTATGGAATGGAGGCTTTAGGGTTTGGGGGCCTAGGGGTTTAGGGGTGAGGGTTAGAGTTTTGAGTTCAGGGCTTTTTGGGGGTGTGGGGTAAAGAGGATTCCCTGCCCCCTTACTGGTGTTGATTGTCATACAGCTAAGAGCAGAGGGTGTGGCTAAAATTTCAGGACCAGTTCGCTCGGGTAGGTTTGGGGGCCCTATAAACGCTATGATTTTATGGCTTCATACGGATTCTATCATCCCTACCCCTGTTCAGGAATGACGGTTCCGCGGAGGCAGGCCTAGCTGGTATTAGGGGTACCTGAAGTGGGGTTTCCCCAAATTGCGCTGGATGGTAAAATCCTGCATGACCCAGCAAGCCAGCTAAGGCAGCGAGGATGAAAGACTTCCCCGCGCTCCTCAATCTCAATGTTGGCTACAGGCCAGTGGGTCCTGCAGGATTTCTATCATTCGCGCACGCCCTCTCTTCGAAAATCAATGCAAGATTTTTAGGATCTAAGGTGGGGGTAACCTCTGGGATTCTAGTATCTGGGAGTCTATATTGGGGTCCCCTTCTGTAGGGAAACTACGATATCGAGGTAACTAAAGAGGAGATCAGCTGGTGCAGCGGGAGCATTTCAGGGATGCAAGTCTACTCTATCTACTCATGCCGGTGCCTAGCAGCAGCAATAGCAACAAGCGCATGGGGATTAAATCATTGCACGTAACATCCCTGAGGATCCAGGTGAAGAAATGCTGACGACTTTGGCCCGTAAAATCTGCTAATCAAATAGTGTCTACTTTGTCGACCCGTAGGGTGCTGTGGCAGTGCTTCTCATTGCAAGGAATGGAGAAGCTGGTCGCTCATATACAGTATTCCGTTATTCCATGGCTGTAACCAGAGACATCCCATAGAGGGTTTGGAGCATCCAAACGCTACAGAAGGCCCCGGGCCCGCTGTGATACCTCAATGAAAAGTAGCGCGCCGCTTACAAACTTGCATCAGCTGCCGTCTCAAGATGCCAACGCGCACCAATGAGATTCTACGTCTAGACAGCTGCAGAACTGCACACATTCAAAGCGTACGAAAGAAAAACATCTGTTTTGAAAAGTCCCCCCCATGTTTCTGGGTGATCAGGGAAGAAACAGCGGTTGGAAACATGGTGCGCATCAGATGAGGCCTATGGACCCTGAACTCTAAATGCAATCTTTGCCACGTGCGCACGATGCGGAGCACCGCAAAATCCACAACACCTTTGCAAAAAGCTAAGCTCGAAATAGAGGTTTTGAAGGTATATGCAGAACGCAGAGCTCAGGGTTTGGGGTTGAGGGTCTAAGGTGTCTGTCTAAATTGGGAGTGCCTCTCAGGATTCCGCGAACTTTTGAACTCCAGTCTAAACTCCAAGTATACCCCTTAGCAACCCCTATAATACTCCCCTACATAATCCCCTTCTAGCAACCTTTAAGGAATTTAGACTATAGCGCATATGGCGCGATTGAAATGAGGGATGATAGGGGTCCTGCTTAGGTGCTTAGGGAACCTATTGTGCTCTACCAGGCCAGGCATAAGCAGGTGCCTTGGTTTGTCCTACACTCCGGTCCTCTACTCCCGGCCCCCCCCCAATTACCCATAAGTTCGCCTTGATTAGCAGTAGCCCTAATGGGCAAACTTCTTGTAGGGAAGCCTATCAAAGTCAACCGGTTCCTGGGCAGACGTTTGCAGCATAAAGCGCATACACGGTTTGCAAAGAACTTAGGACCAAAACAAGGTCTCACTCAACACGTGTGAAACTTACTGGTTCTTAGTAGGGACTAAGGGGATATGTTATGCAGGGAGTATATTCAGGTATTCCACACTAAACCCTAAACCCTAAACCCAAAACCCTAAACCCTAAGGACAGCTGTGGACGTGGGTCACTCACAAGGGCCAGGCGCCTGGCCAGTCAGTGACGGAAAGTCATGCTGCGGAGACTTTTGCAATAGACTGGGTTGCTTTTGAGGTACCTAAAGTACGTTACTCTATTAAGGGAACCCTATTACATACTATATACCCATATTCTGGTAAGTGAATTTCAGTTCCCAACAGCAACCCAGTAGAGGGTCCGCAGGTATCATAGAGTCTTCTCCATAAGCCTTGCCGAGCACGGGTGAGGGTGAACCTTAAACCCTAAACCCTAAGCCCTAAACCCCTACACCCCTAAACCTCTAAACCCTAAACCCTCAACCCTTAGCCTTAAACCCCTAAACTCTACACCTCAGCCCTCAACACAACCCAGCCTCAACCCTGCGCAGGTAAGCCTACACCCTCAGTTCTACGTCCCTCACCCTACCATCAACACTCCATGAATCCCAATCCTCTTGCCCCTGAAGCCACCCCTAAACCCTCAACCTGCACGAGGAAGTGTAAACCTGGAGCCTTTAAAGTCTAAACCCTCAACCCAAAGCGCTTTGCAGTGAATATGTGCATAAGTTCAGACAAGAATCACGAAGGCTACCGTTCCTTCTTCTTTGTATTTGCAGCAACACCAACAAAATAATCAATAATCCTAACTAAACCTTAAACCTTCAGGATCTCAAAACCTTAAACCCTAAACCCTTAACCCTAGCCCTTAACCCTAACCCCTTAGCCCTAAAGGGCTGAAGCCTTAACCCTAACCCCTTGACCGTGAACCCTTTGCCAAGATGCCGGAGGTCTCCTTGTTTGCCAAGATCAAGGCCTGACAACACTGGGCAGCTTAGTCAATGTCAAGGTTTCACCTTAAGATCCCATAGGGATTTAAGGGGTCATACGGGGAATATATAGGGGATTATGTTGGGTCTATATGGGCATATATATATCATGTTCAGGCTAGTTAAGGTCGTGCTGGTTTTTAGTATCAACAGTGCTTGACGCACTTTAGTGTTAGGGTTTGGTCACGGGCTACCATGGTGCAATATGGAGACTCTAGTTGACTCTCATTCATGGAGACTACTAGTCCATTCAGGGTTTAAGGCTTACTTGCTTGGCAGGAATGGGGGAAGCGGACTACTAGGAGAAAACCAGGCTTTACAATATGGACAGCTATGTCAGAAGGTAGGGAATTGCAAAGGATGTCTGCTGAACCCTAAGCCCTATAAGCCCTAAACCCTAAACCTTGTACATCTAAAACCTTATCCACCCTAAACCCTATAAATCCTAAATCCTGAGTCCTAAACCCTAAACCCTGTAGACCCTAAATTAAGATTCAGGGCTGGTAGGATAACTCCGAAGAATGAGCCCGAAACTAAGACTGATGATTTCAGGCTTTTTCGGATTTTAGAGTTTAGAATTTGGGGTTTAGGGCTTATAAGTGTCTAGGGTGATGGGACACGAACAGTAGTTGCCCAGAAGGCGAACCAAGGTTGAGTAGTAGGCTGATTTATGGTAGGCGTTAGGATGAATGGTGCTACTATCTTTGGTCCTGTACCCCTATTGCGGTTACATTGGGGTCATATTGGGATAATGGAAAACAAAGTGAAACTACTATTTAGGGTTTAGGGTATAAAGTCCCCCTTGAGTAGATAGAATATGGCTTTGAGTATATTATAATTAGATCCCCATATCCCCCACATTCTATCTATTTAAGGGGGACTACAAACCCGAACAACTCCTGTATATTCCCTAGTTTCCATTTCATTTTCCATTTGATTCTCCATTATTGGAGTAATATCTACTTAGCGCGGACTATACATCTTAATAGAACTATAGCAGTGGGTTTCAAAGGCAGGGGCTCCCGCTGCACCTCCTCCACCAGCTGCGCAACAACCAGGAAGAAATCGAGTACCTCGGCTTGGGGGGGTTGAAGGTTTTAGGGTTCAGCATTTGGGGTTTAGGGGGTTTCCAGAAATTCGGGGCCCCTCCTTGAAGGTCTCAATCCAGGGATTCTAGTACTTGAGGCTATGTTTTAATGGGGACTTTGTTCTTGGGAGGAATTTGGTAAAACTATTATTGCCCAAATGGTGGCAAGGAAAAGGTAAGGAATAGCAACCCAAAGGTAGGGATCCGTACTTTACCATGCAAAGGAAAGCACAGATGTGCCTTCAACCTAGTATATGCCCAATATGTACCCTTCAACGCCAAAGAGACTCCGTTCCAAGACCTAGGGGTTTAGGGCCTTAGGGCTTAGGGTTCAGGGGTAGGGGTTCTGATCAACTTTCTTCTGAGGTGGCATCCTTCTTTGCCTTTGACTTGGTTTCTTCGCGGGATTTCTGTAAACCGAATTTCATAGTCAACGCGGCTTTTGTCCACTGAAAAGGCAATCCAAAAACGAGCCAGCTACCTTGTAATCGTTGGATGGCCATATGGGGAGGGAAGGGCATCACAGTACCACATCAGGATAGGCGGCGCAGACTTAGCCTTGGGCAAGGTCTGAAGCAAACAGCTCCTTCTTGCACTGGTGTGGCGCAGGACCCAAAAAATGGAGAAGGGATTTTGAAGGTGCAAAGTACTATCTATCACTATGGATGAGCAAACATGATACTGGTACTGACTTGTTCAAGCTTGTACAGTACAACATCTTCCCAACATACAGCGCAAAAGGAAAAGTGATATACGGCAGCCAGCATCGGACGCCCAGGGCTGGCAAGTACTAAACCCGTCTATAAGCTCTTCAAAGCCCAACCGCTTAGCCCTATATGGTACAAGTTTGAAGGATTGCCATAATCTTCCCTATAGTGAGTTGTCCTTATATGACTTTAGTAGCGTACATCCCAAGACCGCATGATTTTTCTACCATCATTCCTATAAACTCTCATTTCAGCCCAGCTTCCACTTGCATTTCGCTTCCACTTAGTTCTTCGTTATCCTAGCGATTTAGTCGTTAGTCCCGATGCCCATTCATATATATATATATATGAATATGTATATATATATATATACACACGTTCCCTTACTCCCTGCTAACATCCAGTGCGATCATTGTAAAATCCTGTGGTGTGAGCCGAGCTGCGTTCCAGCCCCAACCCAGCCTCGGTCTCGGGAGCTACGGGCTTTAAAAACAAAAACACTTATTCGGGGTTTGGGATTTAGGATTTAAGGCTTAGGGTGTAAGACCATGGTACTACCTAAACACCGTAAAATATGTAGAATAATTGCCTTTTTGGCGGATTTTGGCCTTTCTTTTTACCACTTTGGGGTCCGGACAAAACAAGCATTAACAAGTATAATGACATGAATAACACATGATAGTAAGAACAATATTCGTACTAGCAAGAGAACGAATGGTAGTGATCTTCAGCACTGATTCTCATGATGATAACGACAGCAACAATGATAAGAGGAACACAAGCTGCGCCGCTTACGGTTTGGAGTGTATGAGGACTGCGGTAAAGGATCTAGAGCAGCAGTGGTTTTAACGCGGATCGGGCTTGTTGTCTAGAGTTTAGAGCATGCATTTGAGGTTTGGCTGACAAGTTTACTTGCAACGGTGTTGATTGGAATGCCTGCTTTCACATGGATTTCGTTGAACAAAAATATCGTGAAAGCGATGACCGGAAATGGTGGCACGCATGCACTTTGTGGTGGCAGATATTGATGGACCTTTCTATGCTTGCAACCTGTCTTGGCAGAACGTCTGGACAGAGCGCAAAAACGCGCACACGTTTCGTCAAAGAGCAGGTGGAGCTGTGGAGTCTGGCCGTTTACAGATGTAGCAAGGCGCAGCCAAACTTAACGATGAAGACATCCGATTTTCAAATGTGAAAGTCCCCCTTAAGTAGATAGAATATGGCTTTGGGTATATTATAATAACATCCCAATATACCCCATATTCTATCTACTTAAGGGGGACTATAAGTCAAGTAATTATGGGATCTGCATTTTCTTTTGCTGCCTGACTCCGGACTCCAGGCCGATGGGCGCAGTGCACTACAAGACTCATGAGATCTTTGTAGAAGGTTTAGGGTTTAGGGTTTAGGGTGGTAGGAGTTGAATGACAATATCTGCCAGTACATGGAAGTTTGCATCATTAGAGTGCCCCAAGAGTCACCTCACAACATTATAGTCCGAAAAGTAGGTACCCACAAAACAGGGTCCCTAATCCTTGGAAACCCTAAGCCTTGTAAATCCCAAACATCTCTGTATAAGTGTATAGAATCCTATGTGTTCCCTGTAAAAGGACCGTTGAACTCTTGGAAACTCTTACAATTTACAATGTGTGCATGGACACGTTCAAAGCTCCCACCCCCCATCCGTCGAAATGTCAAGCATGAGTCCAATCGTAATAGGCCGGGGAAAAGTAATGATACGTTGGGAAGAAACATAAACTACCACATCTTGGGGTCTTTTTGGGGTCCCCTTGTTCCGGAAAACAGTAATGGTAGGGTGTGAAATTTGTGGTCCTTCCCATTTTTGGGGTACTCTGACCCGAAACCCCCAAAAAGACGACGTGCTAGGACAGCCTCACGGTTCTTGTATGCACATAATGCAATAACCTTAAATCCTAAGCGCGGTTTAGGGTTTGGGGTTTCGGACCTCAATCCTAGACCCTAAACCTGAACCTATACCTGAACCCCAGAAGTATGCAAAATAATTGCCTTTTGGGCTGTTTTTAGAGATTCTGGGCTATTATCTCACTTACTTTACGGGTTTAGGTAGACTTAAATTCTGAACTCTAAAACTCCAAATCCCAAAAGCTTAGCTGTCATATCGCCACCGCCGAGGCACATCCAGAAGAATTTGAGGCCGTGCACAACAAGTCTTAGCGCGACCTGCTAAGGGGGGTACTTTGAGGGAACTCTAGGTATGTACAGTGATGAGAAAGAAGTTTTAAGGGAGTGCTCTTCACAATTTCCATTCTTCGTAAAGAGGCTCCTATGTACCCCTAAGGGTCCAAGAACCCAAATAATAGGGTTTTAGGGCCCAAGTACCATTAATATTCTAGTATGTGGACCCTAAAACCCTATTATTTGGGTCCTTGGACCCTTAGTCCCTTAATATCCCAAAATATCCCCTTATAACCCCCTTTAAAGGGACCCTATTATTTGGGTCCTTGGACCCTTAGGGTACCTGGTAGTAAGGCTCGGCTTCACATTGAAGAGCTTCGGGAGGCTTTGAGAGCTTCTGCGCTAGGTAGGCATAATACCCAACACCAGCCCTAGGGATCCAAATAGCCCAATGTGGGTTTAGGGTTTAGGGTTCAGGGTTTAGGGTTTAGGGCTTATGGTTTAGGGATCCAAATAGCCCAATAAACCCTAGTAATGGAGAATCAAATGGAAAAGCAAATGGAAAATGAAATGGAAACTAGGGGTTTATAGGGATGTATAGGGACCCAAATAGCCCAATGTAGGTAATATTTACAGACTTTGGGGCCCAATGTAGGGATTATTTGTATACATGGATCCCTAGGGCATTGTTCTCTGGTAGCAGAACATACAAAAAAGATATTCCCTGGTAAAAACGGAGCTTTCCCTTACCCAGCTTACGGGCACCTGATCAACGCTTGAGAAGTTATCATGTTGACGAAGCGAGTTAAGTTCAGTTACAATCAAAAGAACATTATTCACTTTTCACTGTGTGTCCGTATCCTGGTCTCTTACTTCAAGGTCTTGGAACCCCTATGCTTCTCCTCACCAACTCAAAAAATCAGATTCCTCCATCAACTGACTTTCCAGGTTTGAAACCTCTTGCTCCGCGATTAACCCGTCATCAGGCATGACATTGCCAACTCTTTCCACTCTTCGTGAAGGACCTTCTCAGGTCTGAAACCTCCACAGAACGGTAATGCGTGGATGTTGAATTTCAATTCCTGAACCCTAAGCCCTCCGCGGCCTCCATGGCAAAGAAGGTGCAAATGATAATGTCGATCACGCCTAGGTGATGGAACATTCGCAACAAGATGCAGCAAGGGATTCTCGGATCACATACAACTCGTTTTGGCGACAAGTAGAGCTTAGCAAGGGTTTAGAGGGTGCAGTTTATTGTTCAGGACGAATTGCAAAAGCCTGTTACTCATCCGCGAAAAAGCAAAGTTCTAATCTCCGGCAACCCTGCATAGCCCTGGCCCAACTCACCTAAAATTCTGATTGTGCAGGGCCTGCAGTTGGTGGGGGAGTCAAGGGCATTCATGAAGATATATCTGCGATGCTCTAGACTGCGAGTGTACGCTTGCCTGCAAACTGTAGTTGCCAAGATCATGCTCTTACAGCCCTTGTGAAACTGTAGTCTAATGTACTCCGAAGCCTTGTTCTGATTATACCTATTCACCAGGCCCCTACATTGCAGCCTTCATAGGACCCAAAGTAAGCCCCGCTTCACTTGTTGTTTCCATGCTCTTGTCTGCTTGATTTTTTCATATACGCCCTATACCCTAACATCCCCAGATATGCCCGTTTCAAAGCGACCCTACCCCCATGTTGCAATTGTTTCGTCCGATAGAATCATCTTGTCTGTCCGGGCTACGGAACGGCAGGGAAGGGTCTGGACGCCCGTTGAGAGTCATCCAGTTGATCTGCGCTCCTGTATCAGAGGAATCCGTCTGAGGGGGTTTTAGGGATATGCAGGCATTTGGGTTCCTTGACAAGATTTTGGCAACATAAGCTTCAGGGCTTAGGGCTTCTGACTGGGGATGACTTTTAGTGTGGGACTTGTATGAAGGCTTTTTGGTTTACGATTTGGTCTTGAAGTGGAGAACGACATGGGACGGACAGTGATGATTCTAGGATCCACTGCCATGCTATCTCTTGAGGACTAGTCTGTTCAAGGTCTGGCGTGAGGATTCACAGTCCCGGAGTTTGGGGTAAGGGTCTTTCATCCTGCGACCAGGGGGGTTGGGTAGAAAGTCACATGAACGTCAAGATTCGAACTTAAGACTATACGGTTGTCTAGAAGTGACATTCCACAGACCCCTGCTTGCGGGATACTGTGAGGGCCTCAACAGCTGCCGATGTCTTTTCCAGAAGGCGAAGGTCAGGCTTTTTTAACGGGTTCTCCTACTATCCCCCCTAGATTCTCTCTTAATCAGGCTTACTGCCATACCTATAGGGATAAGATGGGCTAATTATGGGAGAACCTTGGGTGGGAGGTAGCATGGGGGCGGTGTAGGAGAACCCATGAGTGTAGAGTGTTGTGGGATATTTTTTTTCATCTTTAGGCGATTACTACTATTATTAATGCATATACTTTTGGGTCCCTTGTGACTGGTTTGGGTCACAGGTCTCAATGCTCTTTCTTGCGCTTTGGCATGGTTAAGTAATCTCAAGTTCGCACCGGCCTCTGAACCTAACCTGGAAAACCCAAACTGCCAGCCCCAAACCTTTACCTATCCCAACCCTTGACCCCTCAGTTCTCGCCTTCCGGGTCTGGCGAGTGTGCTTGTGTTCGCTCTACAGGCATAGCATACAGTGTGTTTAGGCTCAGGGGCCCTTGATTTCAGGTTCAGAGTTTGATAGCGTGGGTTCGCAGGATATTTGAAGCAATGTTAAGGGAAAGCGGACACAAACCTGACAATCCTGGGTTTGGCTGAGAAATGGGGTAGGGCAATGATGTTCTCAAGTGTAGGCTTATGCATTAAGTAACTTGGGATCCTTGTGGCAAGGGCGAGGAGATCTTTGAGACGGAAAATCAGCTTGACAGCTTCTTGGCTTCGGCCAATACCAGAATCCCTGGATACCCCGTTACAGCTTTTCGATAATAGGGACCCAAGAAGGGAACGCCCTGGTGGTGAACATGTTGACTGCTGCCAAGCTGCCCACGAGAATCGTGTGTGTCACGATCACTGCCACCTGGTTTAAAATATACACTAGGGCTCATTTTGGGGAATACCTTTTCCTAGGACTATGCAAGGATAAGATATTGGGGTCTCCCACTGTTCATAGAAATTCCCTTATGGGGTGTATAGCTGCAGGATTGCTGTGTAGGGGCCTGGGATTACAACAAGTCTTAAGGCCAGCCGCAGCCTACAACCTTTGAAGGGACCGGTATGGACCCCTCGCGACCTGTTCGTGGACGCTATAATTACACGAACCCCATGAACAAAAAAGGACTTGTCTGGAACCAGGGCTCGAGTGAAGCTTAAGTAAGCACTGGAAGCGTCGTCTTGCAGAACCTCATCTGCACCCTGGAACTTCGAGAGATCAGAGACCTACATCAGTGACCCTAAATCCTACCACTAGATTGGGTCTAAGGTTGAGGTGTTAAGCTTTACTTGTTTTCTTAAAACTGAGGCTCGCTCCACGATGTACTCGAAGTTCTGGCTGCGCACGAACCTTTAAGGGTTGCGGTTTAGAGTTTAGGGTTCGGGTTTTAGATCTCAGGGCTTAGTGCTCGGAGTTCAGGGCTTAGAGAACTTGAGGTGGCGGGCTACCCTTTGGGTACTCTTACATATTGCCTGCACAAAGCTTATATGGGCAGCCTGTATATATATATATATGTATAGTACAGGGTCTTCTCTCCCCATGGTCCACACTCTCTCTTCTGGATGTGCTTCATGCCTTCCATCCTCACACATGTTCATAGCCCCGAACACGCTGAAAAAACTAAGCCCCAAACCCTCAATGTCGCAAGTTCTAACGGCCCTGCGTAACCCAAAACCTACCCCAAACGGTCCATGTACCTATGTGGTATGTATGTAAGCCCCAAAGGACAATTTGGGAAACCCTGCGGCCCCCCAAATGTAGACGTTTTAGGGACCCTACGGTCCACCCACTTCGCCAAACCCAAAGCCCTAAACCCTAAACCCTAAACCCTAAACCCTAACCCCCAAACCCTTAGCCCCAAACCCTAATCTCTAAACCCTAAACCCCAAGCCCTTAACCCTAAGCCCTACGCCCCAAACCCTAAGCCCTTCACCCTTCACCCCTTATGGTTCACCCAAGCGGTAACAAACGACCACCGGCCTTGTCAAGCAACGCTGGCTGGCACCGAGATCTCGCAGCTTGTGGTTCACTTCCTTTAATCCGACTCGGGCTCATGGTTGGTGGCATATATAAGGGTTTATGTAGGGTCTAGGGTCTGGGGTTTTGGGTTTCGGGTCGAAGTCATGGGTTTAAGGATGTTACCCAAGAATGGACAACCCAATGAACAAGAACATGGAAAATAACATGGAAGCTGGGTTTATGACGCGGATATTCTGTAAAGGGAATATGCAATGTTGGGGCCTGAGAAATGGCCAGTATCATGTTGTAATAAGCTTTAAAGGTTTTTTAGTCTCCAGTATAGGGTTCGGGGAATCTACGCACGTGGCGGGATCTGGAAAGCAGAATCTCCCTTTGAGCCTCTTACCCTGTTCGCATAAACGTCAGCGTTAGACTCAGGATTCATGTTAGGGTTTAGGGTTGAGGGTTTAGGGATCAGGGGTTGGGGGCTGGGGCTCAGTGTTCATCACTCCAAGTTTCGTAGAAAAACGAATAACTTGGCGGCACCCTCGGGATAGGCTCCTCTCCAAGTCCTTGCATATCGTGGAATGCCGTAGACCCTGAACCGTAGGTTGCGTAGTGGAACAGCTACCTCCTTTCACTTTTAGAAAAGCGGCCATATCCTATAGCTAGCAGGATGCTAAACTCTAGCTGCTTCCCACCTTGAAAACTTTAGGCCCCCAAAGCCTGGACTCCGAACACGCAAGGCCAACATGACCTTAAAAGCCCTTTTAAGATTTAAGCCTAAATCCTCAATGCCCACACCTAAACCTGAATTCCCGACGTCCACACCTAAACCTAAATCCCAGAAGCCCCAAAAAGTTCACAAAACCAAAAAACCTACAGTTTTCCAAGAAGTCCGCACCCAGAGCTTTTGAAAGCCAGGAAACGGAGAGCTGTGCTCGCAGGCCCATGGCCACTTCCTCAAGACCACATGGGCCATTGTCTAGAATAGGGTTTAAGGGGCCTAGAGGTTGAGGGCTTTGGGGCTTAGGGTTTAAGGATCTAGGGGTACAGGTTTTAGGGTTAAGTTTTTTTGGTCCAAAGTTTTAAGGTTTCAGGTATAGGGTTTAGAGTTGGGGCTAAGGGGTTGGGTCGGTTTGCGGTGTCTAGTTTCGAGACTCGGAGAACAATTCTCATCGTTTCCTGGGACTCAGGTAGGCGAACACAGCATGACATAATAAAGTATAATATGGCAAGAAAATAACATACTATAATATAATATGACAGAATATAAGTTACTATAATATAATATGATGACAAATCAGTGGGATTCAGGCATTAAGGGTGCGGTCTGAAGGAACTCAAGGTTGAAAAAATGAGGCCTGGGGCTTATCAGGTTTAGGATTTATGGCTTAGGGCTTAGGATTTTTGGTTTATGGCTTAGGGTTTGGGGCTTAGGGTATCAGGCTCGGGGTTTAGAGCTTTAGATTTAAAGTTCTTGTTGTGGGTGCCGGGCTTTTTTCAGGGACCTTGTGGCCAGGGCCACTTCGAAAGCAAGCAGATCCGAACTTGAAAGCAAGCCGGGTCTGCAAGCTGTCCATATTAATGTAGAGATCATATAGGGATTGTATAGGGTTCTATGAGGGTAATGCAATTATATAGAGATTATGTAGGGTTATATGGGGATAGGGAATGGATAATAGGGGTAGTGCTACAAAGCCTTCGGTGGTGAAGTTTGGGTCTAGATGGTGAGCTGATGAATCCTTGTGCTGACTGCTAACCCATGAAAAATGGTCATGCTGACCTGGGCTCAAGAACACACCAGCAAGCATAGATCATAGATCTGTGTCTAGAATCCCATGTTCAGATTTCTCAGGATGACCTACTAGGACCCCAATAAACTATACCATTATAGGGACCTTTAAAATAATCCCCCTAATTTCGGGAAAGCCTACACCCTATGTATATCTATCAAACATCAAAATTCATTCTTAGCAGGAAAGCAACGAGAAGATGCAAGCCCTCCTTCTTTCCGACTGCTGTGCTTGCGCTGCTCGCTTCCGGAGCTCAACCCATTAAAGCAGCCGTCTCCTCCACAAGCAAATCCATGACCTCGTAGCAACAGACAAAACAATACAAGCACTTGTGCAAGAGAAAAAAGTCACAGCAAGAAGTACAAACCACACTAGGTGCGAAACTCCGTGTTTGGAGGTCTCCCGGTTCGGGATGCGTCGCACAGATGTGACATCATCTCCTGAAGCAACTGGCGTGTACAGACATTCTTGAGCTACAATTACAAGCACCGACACGTTGCATTCACAAAGTCCTCCGATGTATAGCCGAAACACAAGAACGGGTTGCCAAACTTTCTGCACAGCACGTTGTGGAGCAGCCCGGCCAGCTCATCGAGCAGGACCGTGCCCTGCCTGACAGCACGCACCCTTGTGCCCAGCGAGTTCAGACAAGAAGCACACCAAACCCCTGCCTTTCGCGTCGAAGGCTGTGTGCTCCACCGTGTACGATGTACTCGTTGGTGTAGTCTGCCGCCTGACAAGAAGCAAACTCGTGTCGGCAGCTACAAACGCCCTGACCGGGGAGCTGTAGTGACTGTAGTGCTTCCTACTAGCCTCAGCAAGCATGCCACAGCAGCGCATCCCGGCACGCAAGACCAAACCAGAACTCATCGTGTCCGCTCCAGAAATGATTCCAATACACATGCTGTTCATGCATTGTGGTGCTTCTAGCCTCCTCGCCCAGCACGACCGGTGTCTCCGGCACCCAGACGTGGCCCAAGGCTTGCGACCCGCGGGCAGCTTGCCACTGGGCAGCGAGCCACTGCGTCTCAGCCCACACAACTACACCAGGCCAAGGACAGTGCAGGTACTCGTGCCACAAAGCAAAGACTCCGGGCGATAGCAGACAAGTACCAGACCCGGAAGTTCCTTTGCAGAAGACGCCGGCGGCTGGAAGGCGATCATGAAGCGTTTCAGGACTGCCGTGCTGCAGACCGCCTGGCACTAGTGCTCATTGGGCACCACATAAGATCTCATGATGGCCTGGAGGCTCTCATGTACCTCCTCATGTGTCTAGCTTCTGCTGCTCATGATGTTGTGCCATATGGCCACGTGTTGACCACGCTGTCTGGTCGTACTGAGGTTCCCATATTGCATTACACAGTTATTCAATCAGATGCTTATGCCACATGTGGATGCTGTGATCCCCCTGCTCAACTTCGAGGTGGATAGGGCAAGCTGGCACGCGCTATAGATTGGATGACTGTTGCAGTGTGTATGCCTCCGTCGTATTCATATGGTCTGGGAGCGCCAAAGCTCTCAGGGACGGACGGAGTGCCTCCCACACTTAGCATCATGTGCACTGGACTATCCCCTATGCTCGAGTCCCCGAAGTGGAATGCAAGTGGTCGCTGCATTACAGTTGGCTGATTCTCTCACTCTATTCTGGCAGGCATCCGTGCTGAGGTGTACGTGGTATGTGGATGCCTGGACAACACAGATCTGACCTCATGCTTTGCTGAGTGCTCGATTCATGGCTCTAGAACCCTGTTTCACCTGTGGGTAATGTAATGTTCACCCTGTTTTGCTACTTACGAGTGCTCTCTCTAGCAGTTGCTACCGATTACAGCCGGGCATTTATGTGCTTGGTCGTGTCACTCGGGATGGTTTGACGCTGGGGCCTAGAGGTTGAGGGCTTTGGGGTTTAGGGTTTAAGGATCTAGGGGTACAGGTTTTAGGGTTAAGTTTTTTTGGTCCAAAGTTTTAAGGTTTCAGGTATAGGGTTTAGAGTTGGGGCTAAGGGGTTGGGTCGGTTTGCGGTGTCTAGTTTCGATACCCGGAGAACAATTCTCATCGTTTCCTGGGATTCAGGCAGGCGAACGCAACATAACATAATAAAGTATAATATGGCAAGAAAATAACATACTATAATATAATATGACAGAATATAAGTTACTATAATATAATATGATGACAGATCAGTGGGATTCAGGCATTAAGGGTACGGTCTGAAGGAACTCAAGGTTGAAAAAATGAGGCCTAGGGCTTATCAGGTTTAGGATTTATGGCTTAGGGCTTAGGATTTAGGTTTTATGGCTTAGGGTTTGGGGCTTAGGGTATCAGGCTCGGGGTTTAGAGCTTTGGATTTAAGGTTCTTGTTGTGGGTGCCGGGCCTTTTTCAGGGACCTTGTGGCCAGGGCCACTTCGAAAGCAAACAGATCCGAACTTGAAAGCAAGCCGGGTCTGCAAGCTGTCCATATTAATGTAGAGATCATATAGGGATTGTATAGGGTTCTATGAGGGTAATGCAATTATATAGAGATTATGTAGGGTTATGTGGGGATAGGGAATGGATAATAGGGGTAGTGCTACAAAGCCTTCGGTGGTGAAGTTTGGGTCTAGATGGTGAGCTGATGAATCCTTGTGCTGACTGCTAACCCATGAAAAATGGTCATGCTGACCTGGGCTCAAGAACACACCAGCAAGCATTTGGATTCAATTCTTTGGTCGTACGTGCCTGGGCGAAGGTATTGACATATTAATGCAAGGCTCCTCAGCTGAAAATCCGGCCTTTACTCCCGAAACCGGAGCCATAGATCATAGATCTGTGTCTAGAATCCCATGTTCAGATTTCTCAGAATGACATACTAGGACACGAATAAACCATAGCCCTTAAAGGGACCCCTAAAATGATGCCCCTAATTTCGGGAAACCCTAAACCCTATACCTCATTATATCCCTATAGAAGCCCTATATCCCCCTTTAAAGGAGATCCCTAGGATCCTCAGACGAATCATCTGAAGATGAAGGTCCCGCCCCAAGGATTAACAAAAAAGCTTCTGGACCCCTCACCCTAGGGATCCAAATAGGGTTTAGGGTTTAGGGGGAGAATCAGATGGAAAAGCAAATGGAAAATGACATGGAAACTAGGGGTTTATAGGGATGTATAAGGATCCAAATAGCCCAATGTAGGTAATAGCTACAGACTTTAGGGCCCAATGTAGGTATTCTTTGTGTACTTGGATCCCTAGACCAAGCCTTGAAATCCAAATCCCTACACCCCAATCCTGCCAAAAGCTAAGCTCGGTGCGATGCTCTCGCAGCCCACCCTGCCACCTGGGTTTGGGGCTTCTAGGACCCTGGTATAATCGTTATATATTGCTTAACAACCAGGTATTCTACCAGGTAGTCACCCTATTGCCCCCAAACGTCACAAGGGCCCCTCCTAAAGCCCCTAGATTGTGGAAATGCGGGTGGGTCATGCGCGTGCGCGGGCGTGAGTGAGTGTGCGTGATTTGGGATGGATCTACTCTGCCAGAATAAGCCTAAACCTCAAACCCCAACCCTTACAATGACAAGAGGGCAACATAAACCCGGCCTGCGCGATCAGCCCGTCGGACACTCACCGCCTGTGCCATCGAGGAAAGTTTTGACCAAAATTGCTACTTATACCATTTGTATATCTTCAGGGTCCTCCCAATTTTTGAGAGCCTCCCCCTGGCTCTTGAGGGCACCGTGTTGAAATCAATCCGATCAGGGTTTTTCGCTTTGGGGAAGGGTGCGGGGGGTGAAGGTTTCAAGCAAGACGTGGGAAGGAAGAGGGGTGACATCAGGGTGGGGGTCCACTAGCAGCGAAAGAATCGAAAATGTAAAGAGGATCCTAAATCTTTGCCGGATACCATACCAACTAGGATTCTTAGGTCTAGAGTTTAGCGGTACACCCCTTATTGGTTTCTGGATTAATGAATATCAGCAACGGTCTCCAACAATGAACATGCGAAAGCGCCTTGGTCTTCGGAGGCGTATTGTGCTTGAAGCGGCTCGAGAGATTGCGACTGCTGTCCATGCTTTTGGAACTGTCCTTGGAGAAGCTTTGGCCAAGTGAGCTAGTCAGGGTTCACGATGGTTCTTGTGTAGTGGGAGTGTCCCCGCAACTGAATTGTGACGGCAGTTGCTGCTTTGCTGAC